TCAGGTTGACCGATCAAGTTTTCCCTTTAAAACTTTAACAGAACACAGTTTACTTTATTTCTATTACATAAAATAGGATCATTTCAGAGATTTGCTTGCACGTCTGCACCTGAATGTTAACTGGTTGATTTGGTGTTTATATAAATGAATAGATATCTGCATCGTTATTTTAAATTTTGGGGAAAAACGAAATTTTTCGTGAACAATTTTTTTAAAACATTGAAAAAACGAAAAAACTATTTATAATCGTTCGACCGGACTTTAAAAAAACTGTAGTATCTTTAACTAAACGAACAAATTTTCTAAACGATTTTGAAAAAACGGTCGTTTTTTTAATGACGAACAATATGTTTTAGAATAAACTTTTAAAAAATAAATCCACGATTTTTCCAACACACTTTTGCAAAAACTATAATTTTTTTCTGAACAAACGATTTTATTGAGCAAAAGATTTTATTGAACTTATAACGATTTTGCTGAACGATCGTTCAATGAGAAAATGAACAAAATAGATGGAAAATGAACGATAATTTTGAGAAAAAACCGAAATCAATTTTTTATTGAACGATTGAACAAAGAACAAAATGTGTCTTTCACGAGTAATGAACGAATGAAATGAAAAAAAACGAAACCGCCCATCTCTTAAAATACAGAGCTAATTCAGAGCAGACAAACAAAGATATTTCCACTGTCTTTGCTTAGATAAAGGTTTAAAGGGTGCTGCTGTTTATTTTTGTGCTCTTAAAGAGACAGTCGACGTAATTATAATAAAATGACATGTTTGATTCACAATGTTACCCTTTATATTGTTGAGATAATAAATAATATAAGAAATAATATAAAACTATAATAGAAGAAAATTTAAGATCACAATTTTCAATATTTACCATTGTAAATCTGACATGAAACTCTATGTAAATGGGAGGGGTGGAGGGGATGGTAAAATTGACAGGATTCATTTAATAAATTAGATTACAATCCCTTTAAGCTGGTACGTGAACAAACTAAATTAGATCTTCATATATTCATGGTAGGAGAGGGTAGATGTATATCAGTAGAATACTAAACTATAGGAATATAGATATTAGATTAAAGCATCAAGCAAAATTGGTTTCAAATTATTTTACTAAATTACAAAAACTAGACGTTTAGGGAACGAGCGCCTCCTTCTTGTAAATAATTTTGGCTCTTAAAGGGAGTGTTCGCGAAAAATGAAAGGGGTATAGGCTTACGCCGAAAAATAAGCGCTTTTGATCGCTACAATCTTAATTCTATCTGTTGCGTCTACAAGGAGAAAATTGTTAAAAACGACTCGTGCTGAAGAAAGTTGCAACATTCAACTCGGATCGTAAAAATATCAATTTAAATCCAAACAAATCATTTAGATATTAAAACCAAAAATCATCGATAATTTTTCGATGGATTCATATGTAGTTGATATTTCATAAGATTTTTAATTTTTTTTATGATCTGATACTTTGGAAAACATTTATCCTGTTTCGAGGATTTTTGATAATAAAGACGACATTTTTATATTTTCCAGGAATGTTCGAAAATCTAGCGCCAGCGATATATTATTTTAAAAAATAAAATCTGTCGGCGTAATCTTAACTGACCCTTTATACCTGATTCACAACGGTACCCTTTAAACATTTGCTTGCATGAACTATAAGAGACTCAATTATCAATGGTTAGCATGGTATTCATTTAATATTGTTCCTTGTCTATAGATATTTGATATTTCGAATCAATTCGGCCAAAATAAGCTGTGAAGCTTTAAAATATAAATAGCTTTGCACTCGGAGAGAGGTATTATAGAATGCTGACAGACAATTTGTACAGGGAAATCGTACATACCCCGTAACATTGGACATAAAGGTTAACATGTACATAAAAGGAAGAGAGGGATTTTTTGTAGACATCATTCAATTATAAACCAAACTGCAGATAACATTTAAACTACATTGGTTGACAACTTGACGGAGTGTACGGAGAAATTATCTTTCTATCAGATAAGAATTTAGCATGAGACATTTAGCGGCCAACATATCGTCCGCCAAAATACGTGAATTACACGACCACTATATATAGAGAGAACGGGGTCTGGTTTGCACCATTAGCTTGTAAATCTATATGAGTTTAAAACAAGTAATAATTTTCCTTGTTTTTGCAAAAAAAAAATAAAAAAAAAAAAATATTGAAAAAGGTTAATATGGTTTATTTTTATATCTGTTTTTGCAAAGGCGATCATGGCTCAATATTAAAATAAAATTAAATTCCAAAAGTTAAAATTCAGGATAAAATATTGAATTTCATTTTCTCCATGAAGAATATAGATTAAGATTGAAGGTATAGGATTAAAGTTTCTAAGATTCAGAACTCAGAAAAAGAACCACACATCTAACTTGCATCCCCAAATCCCAATTTGAACTTTTATTCGGAAATTCATATATTGTATATTGCGCTGGATGATAACTTAAAATTGGGGAATAGGAAGACGACATTAAAGCAATAATTAAATGAATTTGATGTTACAAAACATGCAGTTTTACAAGTGACTTATTAAATAACTTATAAAGTGAAATGGGTTTGTTTACACTTTGCAGTGTCTAATGTTCAATCAACTATTTAAATTCATAATTTGAAAATAAAAGTCGTCTTCCGCCTCCAGAATTTTATAGTTATTTTTGTTGTTCATTAATTTCTAGGTCAACATATTTCTAACTTAAACTTCTCATTATACTACGTCTGAAATATTTCTTTTCAATTTCTAAAATAACTTAAAGACATATTTGAAAATAACAAAATATAAATATATATTTGTCTGCAGTGTGTAGGTTTGTTTGTTTGGAAAATGTATTCAATAATAAACGTTAGAACTGTTGAACTGATTGGGCCCAATTGTTTAGTGGTATCTCACAGCCTCACAGGCTAATGGGCGGGGATAATACATCAGTTTTGCCTCGAAAATAATGTCGATTTCGTCACCAATCTACTCTATCGGAAGATTTGGCGAAAATGTCTGTTTTACGAGAATCGAAGAAAAAATGATATCTTTAAAAGCATCAGCTTCAAGGTGAAATTGTTTCTAGAAAAGACATGCGCCAGAACATGATAAATCCTTTATATAATTCGTATATCTTTTATATGATATATGACATTTTTCTATCCTCTCCGGAATGTTATGGATGTATAATATAAACAATCCGGAAATTGTTAACGTCCAGTGTGTCCATATAAACATATTTAGTGACAACAATATAATCGCCATCAGTATTTAATTTTTTTGACACACTATGCTATAGGCTGACAGTTTGAGAAACATTTTTGCTAGTTTTTCAACCAAAATTCTAAATTTTCATTATTTCCTAAAGTTTCAACTGCACTTTAGAAAAAGCTCAAAAGACGAAAAATTTTCAGACGAGCGATATATTATACAGTACACAATTTAAATTCAACTTCCTATAATTGAAATTTAATAAGATATAAACTTTTCGTAACTTCTTTTATTCTCTGATTTTTAGGGACACACACCCTGTTCATAAACTGGGAATTTGGAGAATTTCCCATATATTCCTCAACTAAATATTGAATATTAATATGAAAATATAAACAAAGTATATGTACTATAATATTTACTATTAAATGAGAAGATCTAGGGTTGAAAATACCAATGGGTAAAGTTTTTAGGTCTGTTTTAAAACTTTAAAGTTTTTAGACTTTTAAGATTCTCTTCTAGAATCTGAATCGTAAATCTATCTATAATAAAACAAGACATTATATATATGTTCCTAATAGCCGGCCAAAAAACTGGACGTAATGAGCTGAATTTTTTTGTGGACACTCATGGGTAGTCTGGGGGTGACATAGACTAAAAGAATCTATTTTTTTCTATTTTTTTTCTTCCACGGGCAACTCCGCGCCAGGCCCTTTAGCTAGTCCTTTATAAAAAGTGCATGATAAACAAATTTGCTTGTATCACTATTGCTAAATATTTAGTCTGATCAAAGATACTAACCAAATTTTTTTAAAAGTATTTTGTAAAATCGTTATTTAGTTTTTCGTTTGAAAGAAAGTTCTAGTTAATATCTTCAAAATTTGAAGCAAACTTATCAGAATACCATTTTGCAAGAGAAAAAAATGCATTTTTGTCGAGCAATTAAACCCTCTTCTTAACCGTAGATGTCACAAAACGGACCTCAAAACGATTTTTTTAGCCTATAACAACCCCAGGCCATCCATGAGTGTCCACAAAAAAACTGTTTTAAAACTTTAAAGTTTTTAGACTTTTAAGATTCTCTTCTAGAATCTGAGTCGTAAATCTATCTATGTAATAAAACAAGACATTATATATGTGTTCCTAATAGCCGGCCAAAAGACTGGACCTAATGGGCTGAATTTTTTTGTGGACACTCATGGGTAGCCTGGGGGTGAATTTTTTTCTTCAATTTTTTTTCTTCCACGCGCCAGGCTCTTTAGCTAGTCCTTTATAAAAAGTGCATGTTAGAAAAATTTGCTTGTATTACACTATGCTAAATATTTACTCTGACCAAAGATACTAACGAAATTTTTTTTTTAAAGCGATTAGTAAAGTCATTTTTAGTTTTTAGTTTGAAAGAAAGTTTTAGATAATATCTTCAAAAAGAAAAAAAAAGCGAAATGTGAAGCAAACTTATCGAAAATACCATTTTGCAAGTTGAAAAAATCGCATATTTGCAGAACACTTTAAACGTCTACTAAACCTTAGATGTCACGAAACAGACCTCAAAACGGAATTCAAAACGGACCTCAAAATGGACCTCACAGCGGAACTCCAAACAGAACTCAAAATGGACCTAAAAACGTACCTCAAAACGTACAATTCAAAACGTACCTCAAAACAGACCTCAAAACAAACCTTAAAACAGACCTCGAAACGGACCTTAAAACGGACCTCAAAACGGACCTCAAAACGGATCTCAAAATAGACCTCAACACGGAATTTAAAACGTACCTCAAAACGGACCTCAAAATAGACCTCAACACGGACCTCAAACGGATCTCAAAACGGACTTCAAAATGTACCTCAAAACGGACCCCAAAATGCACCTCAAAACGGACCTCAAAACGTACCTTAAAACGGACCTAAAAACGATGCCTATCAGTAGGTTCAGGTTGACCGATCAAGTTTACTTTAAGCTAGTCTACAACTAAAGCACGAAAACTAAAAAGTGCCGCTCTGCTTGACTTTGATTAGCCCTGTAGATTGTTAAATCTTTTCATTCAAAAGTTTACACTTTGAATATTAGACCTGGCTGAAATATTTAACTTTTCCATTTTAATAAATTGATTATATTCGTAACTTTAACTTTAATTTGAAACGTTTTTGTGTTCCAGAGTTATTTTGGTATCTTTATAATATTGAGTTTTATTGCATGATGATAACACTGATCATGTTCAAAGCATAATCTGAGAAGTGACTATAAGAATATTATGGTTCAGTAAGATTTTGTATTTTTATATTTTGAAGACGACATCACAAATTTTCATATTTCGAAGACGAAATGACAAATTTTTAAAACTCTTGAAAGAATAATCTCCTGAGAGACAAACTCATGAATCTACTATTTTTAGAATGAAAGTATTTACTCTCCAGGTTAGCTTTAGTGGANAGGCTCTGTCACATTTTTTTTAAGTCGTAGTAATGTTAGGTTGAAGTTCTAACATCTGACGGAAAAATGGTAATTTTCGTGAAAACTCTTTAAATGGGTATTTTAAGCACGAATCAAAGAGATTAAAATGCATTTTTAAAAATAATTGTTGCTAGAATCTATTAATATATCTATTTGTACATGTTTTTTGAAATCTTTACGTTTCCTCTACCAAACCTATGTAAACTATGAGTGACCTTTTAAATGTAAGGAATATTTCGTGGATCATAGAACGTGGATTTAACGGTTCTGTCAATATTCCAGAAAGATGTGACTTTCGATCACAATTTGACCCATTAGACATATTTTTTTAGCCTTTTATCTTGAATACTTTTTTGTCGGCATATGCATTATGAATGAAAATGTATAGAATAAACAAATCCGTAAAGCAAAATATTGTTGAATTATAGACCAAAACACGTTTGATTTTTAAAAGAAGAAACTCTGGTTAGTCCGGTGTGATAGGTTCCATTCAAGGATAAATATATAAACAGTGTCCGAATTTAATGAAATTAAGGCACGTCTCAAATCCCCAAAAAACCGGTTTTAATTGACCGCCGGCTTAATTCTTGAAAAATTTAATACAATTTTAAGTGGAACCAACCATATTTGAGCCGCGGCTTAAATTTAAGCCGCGGCTCAAATTCTTTAAATTCGGCCTCTGGAAAAGTAGTTATAAATTAAAATCATTATAAATCCAAGCAAGCTACAATTGATACAATGTTTGTTAATGCAAAGATTATAAGAATATATATTTTCATATATTTACCCCCCCTTAACCCCTTAAAATATCTCACCCATCTATTCAGTTCGTTTTCTTACTGAAAAATCGATTATTAAAATCATTCGTTTAATAAAATCTTTCGTTCAGTAAATCGTTCTTTCAGTAATTTTAAATCTTTCGTTTTTTCGTCGTTGCCCGTTGAAAAAAAATAATTTTTTTTTAATTTTTGAAAAATCGATTTTTAGCCTTTAACACCCCCCGGCAATCCATGAGTGTCCACAAAAAATTTCAGCAGTCCAATCGGTCCTGCCGTTTAAATGGCTATACGCAACATATATGAATGTCTTGTTTTATTATTTAGATTTTGTCTGTGAAAATGGGATAAGTCAGGATATGAACTATAGATATGAATGACCTGGTAAAGAGGATATGAACTATAGATGTTAATGACCTGGTAAAGAGGATATGAACTATAGATATGAATGACCTGGTAAAGAGGATATAAACTATAGATGTTAATGACCTGGTAAAGAGGATATGAACTATAGATATAAATGACCTGGTAAAGAGGATGACAGATCGCTAGATATCTCTCCATAGAGAAAGCAACTATCGTTAACACCGATGCGTAACTCGTCCTAAAAACATTTTTAAAAATTTAAAAAGGGTCTGTGGACGTAATTTGAAGTAAACCTCCCCATTAGTACAGTGGAATATAATATATCCGATTCAAAATTTAAATTGAAATTACGTTTACAATTCTCTTAAGTTTAAATGTACAGCTACATTAGTCGGCGATTATATCAATACAATAAAGACGACTTTTTATTAAAGTTTTGTTTGTTAACAAGCTTTTTCCGAATTTAAAGTTTAAAGTAATTAAAGAGAAGCTTTTCTTTAATTAACAGCTTCTGATTGTTTACATTTTTATATGAATCCATGCTGTTTAAAAGCTTGATATATATCAAAATTTAAATCAAAAGTTGTCTTCATTGTATTGATATGTGAGACGACGACTGTATTAAAATCATGCATCAACTATTAAACTGGGCCGATTTAAAAATGTCACCAATTCTCGCTTCTTGGTTTAACCTTAATTACCAACTTGTTCTTTTTTCTGTAGGCCTAGATAAGATTATTTCAAACTATATGTTGTGAAGCTTTATGTTGCCACAAATATTAGAGAAGTATTCGAAAAATCAAGAAAAATTGTTGTGGAAAAATCAAATCTTAGTTGACAGTGAAATACTTACATCTCAGATATGAGTGCCCGGATCTTACAGAGAGGTTCTCCAAACACCCAGGGATACTGCTGCCAGTAGCTGGTCAACTCATAGGGTAGACCTTGTAACAATAAATATATATATATATATATACCCAGGTATACTGCTGCCAGTAGCTGGTCAACTCATAGGGTAGACCTTGAATCAAAATTTGGGCCCGATCGGTAAATTTAGCCGTTTTGACGTCTGTTGGATAAAAACAAACAGACAGACAAGCAGCAAGCAAAGCATAAATATATAGATAAATTTAATTCCATTCAAATAGAATAGAAGCATGTAAGATTTTAATTTCTTTTTTTAATGATGGACTTCCCCAACATATTAGGTCAAAATTCTAAATTTTGACAGGTCATAAACCTTTCCATTGGATAAGTGAGGTGATTTGGTTAGCTATCGGATAGATAAATATATATATTTATTGTTTATTGGATCAAACTAGCACACCAGTAATTCGTCACATTTTACAAAAAAAATTAGAAATGTTTGTTTTTGCAGAATAAATAGTCTCAGCTCTGCAGACTCACTAACTTACAAAAGTGTTTCTTTCTTTTTTTAGAGCAGAATAATAAAATAATAGAATGAAAACATTCTTAATTTATAATGTCTAACTCAGTCATTGTTTATTTACGTTAGCTCATCTCTGAGAAAAGTAGCAAGACAAATTCTGAATAAATCATTTTTTTTCACAAAGCAAAATGAAATAAAATTCTTACTTATAGAGTCGGAATGTCATGGGGCTGAAACTTCTACGAGTACCTCTAAATTTGTTGTAAAACCTGCACACCTCGTATTGGCTGAACTAGCTTGGACCAGATTAATAAATAGGAGAAGTAGTTGAGCCAAATAAATTAAATTGAACCACATCTCTTCAGTTTGATCCGTCAAAAAAAAAGACCCGGCTGGACCGGCCGCGGGCGGCGGTACGTAAATCATTATTTCTCGCGTTTAATACAATATATCTATAATTCCTCTCTGATTGAACTAAATTTCGGACATTTGATTTGCCACAAACACTAATTTTCTGTTCCTCACATCTTTTTAATCTGGTGTCGTATTCCGGCTTTGACGTCTTAAATAATGTATTTATAAATCTTCATATATATTTAGACAAAATTTTGTATCATATTTTAATATTTCCATTATTAGTGTAAAGTAATAATTTTTGATCTATTCTTGTTACTTGTTAGTGCACTGTAAAGAACAAGGAAAAATATTTTTATTCAGATATTTCTCAATACATTATATGCATTTATCAGGGTTTTTTGGTTTTATTGTCGGTCAATTTTCACTTTCAAACCTTTTTTTCGTGTTTTCAATTACGTATTTTTGCTTTTCTGTATGTTTGTCAGTCGTCTGTACCCAATACACGTCTAACTGGCTAAACCGATCGGGTTCCATTTTTTTGTGACAACTTACATGGTCAAAGTAAAACAATTTGGCTCGGGAAAAAAATGTCAACATTTTTAGTTTAAATAAATGCACCAATTTGAATAGAAAATTCGCGAAAATTTGAGTTTTACAATTACGAAGAAATAATGGCCGCTTGAGATTTGAGAAGCAACATTACACGCTTTGATTGCTACAAGAAAAGGGGCCGCAGAGCGCCCTATACGCATTCTCCACACATAAATCCAGACTAATGTGAAAATTTATCAAAACCGGGTCGATTTTGAAGTGTTCCAACATCTTAGCCTTGGATTTTTTCTCAATAACTCACTTTTTTATTATTTTTAGTTAGTCCTTTGCATCATTTACATTACATTTTTCAAAACGATCGTTTCGTTTTTCGTTTTTCTTCGTCGTTTTTAAAACGATACGATCATTTTTCAAAAAAGTGAAAACGATCCATCCCTTACTGTTAATATATATGCATAGACTAGTTTGTGGGAATCCTGCTTTGCCCGAAAACTAAAATTTCAAAAGAAGTCAAACCGGTCATGAGTTTATATATGATAAGACATACAAAACGAAAACAAGAGATTAATATTATTATATTTTGATAAATGATGTCATTTGTGTAAATCGATAATTATAAATTCGGCATTTTTTTACGAAAAAAAAAGCTCTTTTACCTAATCAGAACTTTTGATGTTAAAAACATGATTATTTTTGTGGCTTATTTTTAGATTTTTGACAATATTTTTAGAAGTTCAATTATTTTTTTTTCTAATGGCTTCTTTTTTAGAAACTAAGTAAAGTAAATTATTCAACGTCCGATCTAAAAGTTTTTTATCTGAATTTAACAATTTTACAACTGAAATATAGGCAATTAAACATGAGCAATTGGGAGTTTTTTTAGATTATAAATTCTTTACTGGTTGTTTGGATATCTCATGATAGAATAAGATGAAATCGTTTTCAATTTGCAAACCATTTCACAATCGACTAGACAAAAGAAGTTGGACAAAACTTATGCAACTGTAAGTCCTCTAGAAAGGAAAGTATATTTAGATAGCATCTTTCATAAAATAGTTTTAAAAACTTGTCAGATTTCAGTGAATTATCCCTTTATTTAATATTTACCTAAAACAAGAATGACAAGATCTGCTAGAGCCAGGGAGAACAGATAGTAGTTGGTAGCTGTGTGCAGGGATTTATGCCGGATAATTACTAAATTTTAGTTCTAATTTTCACCACTAGATGGGAGAAATTACAAAAAAACGACACATTAACGCCTTCGTTAATTAACATTTTATACGGAATCTTTGCAAATTTTTACTCTTTAAAGATTGTTAATAACATTATGGAAATTATAATTAAATATAAAGAAAAAAACAAATTGAGTTTTTACCACAAACTCTGAGTCATGTAACTTAGATATTTAAAATATGAATTCTGTTATTGATCAAATCATCTAAGTTAGAAATATGAAAGGTTTACACCATCGGGTTGCAATGATATACGGATTTGAAAATGAGTTTGATGCAAAAACTCAGTTTCTTTTTGAAACGGAATTAATTGTCTGTCCTTTTTGCTCCTATTTATTACGTTAGTGTTCATATAATTTTCGGTTTAATGCCCCCTCCCCTGACAATCCGTTATAGGAAAAATAATTATCTATTTCTGAATTAGAAAATGAATGGAAATAAAAAAATGGATTACCCAGGCATACACACAGATTTCCTGCAACCCCAGTCAGAAATATGAACGAGTAGATTACAGTTATTGGGATTAAAACCTGAAAAGTACATCAATAAATTTTTTGTATTTTTTAAACTTCAGAGTCCAAAACTAAAGAATGAAAAGTTTCAGTTTAAATGCTGGCGTTCGTGACTTAAATTAAACCTTAACTTTAAGCTATAATAGAACTATTTCATTCATTGAAATCGACAAGTTAAACATTTAACCCCAGGAAAAACTTGCAGTCTCATAATATTTTACTCACCGAAACCGAAAGTCAAATATTTAAATCCGGAATTTACCCGCAGATCTTATAATTTTCTATCAATCAATCAGGGCTCTTCGGGAAATGTTTTCATATTAGCCATTTTTCTGATGTGCTTTTATAATTCTAGGGTTGAATTTAGTTTAACCCCAAATTCATTATTTTGCAGAACTTTTAGCTTTAACTTGAAAGCTCAGATTCTTTAGTGTTGGACTTAGCATCGTGAGTTGTCATATATCTACAACAATTTTACTTGCGCATCATTTCGTGCCGTTTAATTACGCGCAATTCTAAGCAATTCCAAGCAGTTCCGCTCAATTTCACGCAACAGAATTCCGATTGGAAACCCTAGTTTTCATTTTTTATACAAGATAAAAATGCTCTTTTTAGAGAATATTAAGAGCATAATTTTCAAAGAATCTCTTTAGAACTAATTTGCAAAGAGCTGGTTTCCAAAGACTAAATAATTCACAGTTCTCCGGAAATTCTTGAAGGTTTATTGTTCAAAGAAATTCTTGAAGGTTTATTGTTTAAAGAAATTCTTGGGAACCTTGTAGCGAAAAAACTTCGTGATTCTAAAACAGAAAAATTTCCCAAAAATATTGTGTATTTTTGTTTAAAAGTACATATTTAAAAAAAAAACTGTTGCTCCACGATTTTTTTTACAATAATTGTAATAAATACACAATATTAATCTGATTTTGCTTTTGTTATCATTCATTTAGTCAAATCAATTCTTAATTTATGTCAAATCTATATTTTTAGAATATTCAACATTATTGGTTTTTAAATAAAACTTATAATAACTAAATATTTCTGAATAATTAGGAAAATTTTCTACTTAAATTGTAAATATTTTCCAATTTTCCAATTTAAAGATTTTAGATTTAACTTGCAAATCATCAAGAAAAGGAATTTTAACCTATTTCTCAAATAAATTATCAAGTACAATTTAATAGGTAGCAATAGAGAAATGGACCAATTATATATGACGTCACAAGTGTCAAAAATAACAAGGAAAACGAATTTTCTGACATTAGTTGAGATGTATTCCAAGAATAAATAAAAAAGTGTTACAAACAGAAAATAAAGAACAAATAAAATTGTATTTATTTTACTGTAAGCACCTTATTCTAATATTATCACTATTATAAATAGTTTTGTCGGACACAAAAACTAAGTTGAAACTTGTGACTTGAGAATACAGCTGTACTAAGACTTAAGAGTGTACAAATTCTACGTAGCCATCTATTAGAATCTATTTGTTATTTTTGATCAATTTAAAATTTACAAAATCCGAAATTAGACTCTTTAGTTTGATTTAAGCAATACAGAATTCAAAAGAAGAACATTTTTATTATATTTTCGAGACCTTAATTCTGGTTGAAATCCAGTTTTAAATTTTACAAATATACTTTTCAATAAAATTCAGAATTTTGTTTTGAATTATAAACTCACCCTGTCAGTAAAATATTCAGGAGTTCATTAAAATTCTTTCAATGATAACTCTCAAATCAGTGGAGTTAGGAGTACAGATGCAAATTTTTTTTATTTAAAATCTAATTAGTCCCTGTACTGCTAAGTCTACTATACTAGTATAAAGAACTATTTTAGTCTCTATTTGTAATAATTTACTTTAATTAATTTTTACAATATTTTAAAATATTTATTATTAGATATCTTTTTAGTTTAGCCAGTAGCCAAACTAAAAGTTCTAACTAGTTCCTATTCTTCTAAATTCAGTACTAAAAGGTCTAACTAGTTCCTATTATCATAAATTCAGTACTAAAAGGTCTATTTAGTCCATATCCTCACAAATTCAGTACTGAAAGGTCTAATTAGTCCCTATTCTTCCAAATTCAGTACTAAAAGGTCTAATTAGTCCCTATTCTTCCAAATTCAGTACTAAAAGGTCTAATTAGTCCCTATTCTTCCAAATTCAGTACTAAAAGGTCTAATTAGTCTTTATTCTTCCAAATTCAGTACTGAAAGGTCTAATTAGTCCTTATTCTTCCAAATTCAGTACTGAAAGGTCTAATTAGTCCATATTCTCACAAATTCAGTACTAAAAGGTCTAATTAGTCCCTATTCTCATAAATTCAGTACTAAAAGGTCTAATAAGTCCCTATTCTTCTAAATTTAGTACTAAAAGGTATAATAAGTCCCTATTCTTCCAAATTCAGTACTAAAAGGTCTAATTAGTCCATATTCTCACAAATTCAGTACTAAAAGGTCTAATTAGTCCCTATTCTTCCAAATTCAGTACTAAAAGGTCTTTTTAGTCCCTATTCTTCTAAATTCAGTACTAAAAAGTCTAGTTAGTCCATATTCTTCCAAATTCAGTACTAAAAGGTCTAGTTAGTCCCTATTCTCATAAATTCAGTACTTTTAGTACTTTTAGTAGTCTAATAAGTTCCTATTCTCATAAATTCAGTACTAAAAGGTCTAGTTAGTCCCTATTCTTCCAAACACAGTACGGAAATGTCTAAGTAGTCCCTATTCTCTCAATTTGTACAAAAAGGTCTAATTAGTCCCTATTCTTCAAACACAGTACGGAAATGTCTAATTGTAGTCCCTATTCTCTCAAATTGTACAAAAAGTCTTATTTGTCCCTGCTAATTAAGTCAGCCCCTAAGAAGGACTTGTTTCTTCGTAACTTTATCCTTAAAAGATCTAATTAGTCCATTTTCTCTTAATTCCCGTGCTAAATGCCTTTTTAGTCCAAGATTTACTGAATCCATCCTAAAAAGTTCCTGTTTACTAAAGTTCATTCTAAAAATTCTAATAAGTCCCAGTTCGTCAAGGTCAAGAAATTAAAAGTCCAGTACTGTGGTATATCTAGTCCCTGTTNAAAGATATAATTCTCATAGCTCCTAGATATAAAGATATAATTCTCATAGCTCCTAGATATAAAGATATAATTCTCATAGCTCCTAGATATAAAGATATAATTCTCATAGCTCCTAGATATAAAGATATAATTCTCATAGCTCCTAGATATAAAGATTTAATTCTCATAGCTCCTAGATATAAAGATTTAATTCTCATAGCTCCTAGATATAATTCTCATAGCTCCTAGATATAAAGATATAATTCTCATAGCTCCTAGATATAAAGATATAATTCTCATAGCTTCTAGATATAATTCTCATGAATTCTGGATATAAATCTCATAACTCATAGATATTATTCTCATAACTAATAGATATAATTCTCATAACTCATAGATATAATTCTCATAACTCATAGATAGAATTCTCATAACTCAGAGATATAATTCTCATAACTCAGAGATATAATTCTCATAACTCATAGATATAATTCTCATAACTCATAGGTATAATTCTCATAACTCATAGATATTATTCTCATAACTCATAGATATAATTCTCATAACTCATAGGTATAATTCTCATAATTCAGAGATATAATTCTCATAACTCATAGATATAATTCTCATAACTCATAGATATAATTCTCATAGGTATAATTCTCATAATTCAGAGATATAATTCTCATAACTCATAGGTATAATTGGGTTTTTGATCAGGCCAGAAAACTGTTTATTTTCAATTAATCTTTCAGAGATAAAATCTGTGTGCTAGATATCTGTCTAGCCAAGGAGATTCAGGGTGGGACGGAACTTTATTTCCTGTAAACAAACTTTAATATTGTCTTAAAGATACTGAATTAGTGTAATATCAAGTGACCCTCCTTGCAAAGATGATAACAACCTATCTGATCAACAATATGGAAGATTTTGCCGGTTTTTACGTTTAAAAGTGCGTAATTATGATAATTCAAATGAGTTTCCTTGCAGAAGAAATGCGCAAGTTACTTTTGTATCGAAACTGTACAATTGAAAAAATCAGTTTTTTCAAAAATGATCTAATTCAAACTTGATCAGGCTAAGCGCTTATAGGTATTGTTGTGAATCGGGATTTGCTATATTTCCATGGAGGGTCACTTACGCGTACAGTCCCTTTAAGATATTGTTAAAACTTGATATAAAGTACATACAGTTTAGGCATAGCCGTCGGTCCCAAAGACCTGATATAACGAATAGTGAAACCGTGTACACTTAAATTTCTTTGCTGCTTAACTCGTAATTTATAAAATCTGATCTCAGGAAGGATAACAGTTGGTATCCATCTCATGCTAAACTGAACAAATCTAAGCCTCTTGCATTTTTTTCACAAATGCTCCCTTTAACAAGATTGTTGTTTCTGGTCCTAGTTTGTACTGTATCGCCCTCACACCGGGTAAATAAAGCAGACACTCAATAGGACTAGCCGGTGCGACAAGGTTGACTCGGTAAGACTTTAGGTTGAATTTACTTTTACTAAATGGTCAGGGGTGCGTGTTGCCTCTGAAGATTGATTATTTTTAGTTTTAGAGTTTAAAGGATATCATTGTGACTCGAACATGTCTCTCTAAACATAATTATGTGTACATTCTCTTTAAGTATTTCCTAGGAATAATATTAAAGAATCTGAAAATACTCGTACATATTCATAACATAAGAAAAGTCTTCTTTTGATAAACATCAAACATTTTATTAAGCCTTAATATTTTTTCTTCAATAGAAATGTCTGATTATTTCTAATATGTTCATTGAAAATAGAATCAAAGAATGAAATTGTAAAAGAATTAGGGGGAACTTTTTTTGTTGACATCAATCTTCTAGATTTTTCTTAGAAATACGAACATGAATTATCAGTACATAGATTATAAACACCCCAGAATGCTAGTATTTTTCAAGGAGAATTGAATAGAAGGAGGGGGCGATAGGGTTTCCGTGCACTTTGCTGTGACGCTTTTGGACTGCTGAAGAACTAGTTTTTGCGTAACAACAATAATAAAGGCAGCCGATCTATGTAAACAAACATGAGTTAGTAAACTGTGAAAGTAGTATTATCTTGTTAAAAAAGATTGAAAAAGTTAAAGATTTTAGTTTTATACGAAAAGGACCTTATTACAGCGACATTTTCAATCAAACTCAAGGCTATCTGCCCCCCCCCCTTATAAATACGCCATAGCTGCCAGATATCTGTTTATCATTTGTGTTATTGTTTACAATCTTTATTATTGTTGTTACGCAAAAACTAGTTCTTCAATAGTCCAAAAACGTTACAGCAAAGTGTATAACGGAAACCCTATCGCCCCCTCCTTCTATTCAATATCTCCTTGGAATTTATAAAGTCTGGGATTAGATATGGTCTTTTTGATATAATTTTTCATTGCTCATTAAAATATTTTTTTTATGCGCAATATTTGAAGAAAGTGTGTGGAAGTAAAAGAAAAGTTATAAATAGACTATAAATTGTTTTTACACAGACGTGTTGTGTTATTGGCCCAAATATACCCTATAGTCTAACACGTACATTTTAGATAACGCAATATACGCATCATCACAAAACGGCCAGAAAAGGAATTGAATCTGAGCAACATATCCTAATTTTCTAATCCCTATATCTTTGCAACCAAATGCCTATAGACCTTAAATATTTCAAACTATGAATTCTGTGGCAACAATAACCTAAGTTTGAAATATCAAAAGATGTAGGGATTAGAAAATTTGAGTTTATGGAAAACTCCTTTCCTTTACTTAATCACTTTAGTTTCAGTAGAAGTAAATATTTACATTTACTGTTAGCGTCGATTAAAGGATTCATAACTCTATTTGGATAATGAGATAGATAGAAAGATAGATGTTACCGCCAAACAATTTCTATTGGTTCAGAATAGACAACAAACACATGACTGAACCCTGATTGGATCAGGCGCTAATGGAACGGCATACAAGTGTGTACTGCGCAGACCCTACACAATTCTCTGGTATTCTTATGAGAATCTTTTTGAATTCATGTGTTTATATTGACAAACTTTCTTGTTTTATTTTCTAGTACAAAATATGAAATAATTGTATTGTAAGTGAAAGGAAAGTTAAGTATAGACGCGTTTAAACTGTTTTAATGCATTTATTGTTTTTGTCCTTTATACCGTTTATAATGTATTCATACGATAAGTGTTAAAGGGATTGTAAGCGTAATTTCAAGTGACCTTCCATGCAAAGATGTGAATGTCTGACCGGTAACCTTGAAAGTTTTGTTTGATCAATTATCAATTATATCATTGATACTGATTAATTTAAAACTAATTAATCTAAATTGTGGTTTCTCTGCAAAAGTGAACTTCGCATTTCTATTATACAGGAAAACACAAAGGAATTATGATTTATCAGAATTCCCTTTTGAATCTTGAAAAACAACAATTATAAATCTGATATAGGTTTCAAAGGTATCGTTGTGAAAAGAACATTGCAGCCATCTTTTCATTGATGGTCATTTGAAATTATGCTTACAGTCCCTTAATAATTTAGTTAGAAAAATTATTCTTAACTTTTATTTACAATTGATTCAAATTAAGCTGACTTCTTATTGGTTGAAACTTTGACCTTAAGAAATCAGTTAAACTTCCTTATATTTGAATACCTTTCAAACGATCTATGGAAATATAATAAGAAGTGTTTCATTCTAGATAGATTATAGTTATAAAATGAATGGATGTAACATATGACAAGTATTATTCAAATTTTCTGGATGGGGTGTCATGCAGTAGATTGGACATTGGGCACTGGACTTACAATTAGTCTTTTTTTCCCATAAAGTTGTCAAAGGAGTATATAAAAAAAATCTTTAAAACTTGGTAAATTTTGGAGAAAATAAAAATTTAAACAACCTTGGTTGCATTTATTATTAAAGATTTAGACATATTTCTCAATATCTTAGTAAATCCTTAAGTTACAAAAACTGCAGACCACATTTTAAAAAATCCTAAAATAAGGAGCATTGCCACAAACTCTAATTATCCAAACCCTAGTCCTTTACCTTCTAATGGTTCAACCTATTCCAAAGGGAAAACTTACTTCTAATGTTTGGGGGCCTAGTTCTTATGTCGTTAATAAAATTAAGATTTTCCACAGAATTTACGGGGATAACCACTTTTTAATCTCATTTTCTTAGTATTAATATATATATAATTAGTAATACCCCAATTAAACATTATATTATTCTTTGAATTTTATCATCTGCAGATATCTTCAAAGTGCCAAACATGGATTTATACAGATAACACGCTAGTAGAAGCTGGAGTTGATTTCATTTTGTGTACAACGTTTCTGACATATTTCATGCAATTGTAGGACCCAGCACCCTGAAGTATAATGGGTGCCTAAAATTACGTGAACAATCTCATTAAAAATGTTTTTTTACCTGTTATTCTCTAGATTAACCTCCACCCCGCTCAGCTCATCCATTTCATCCATTAATTTCACTCTACTTACAACACACTTCCAATCCACTAAAATAATACATTTAGGATCCATTTCTTCCATTAATTTCACTCTGCTCACAATAATTCTTATCCGCTATACAGGATCCATTTCTTCCATTAATTCTACTCTGCTCACAATACTTCTAATCCACTAAAATAATTCATTTATACAGGATCCATTTCTTTCATTAATTTCAATCTACTGATAATACTTCTAATTGACTAAAAAAATACATTTATACAGGATCCATATCTTCCATTACTTTCAATCTACTAATAATACTTCTAATCCACTAAAATAATACATTTATACAGGATCCATATCTTCCATTAAATTCAATCTACTAATAATACTTCTAATCCACTAAACTAATACATTTATACCAGAATTATTTCTTCCATTAATTTCACTCTGCTCACGACAAAATTCTAAATATTGAGAATTGTCTTTCAATTAATTGGAATATTTTTATTTAAAATTGCGAAATTTCTACTATACTACTCTTACCTCCTCTTCTGGTTTGTGATTCTGTGATATCTATCAATCTATCCTTCTATCCGTTTCATCTTAAACATCTTTTTCTGAAAAATTTGAAATCAGTTCCTTAAAAACTATGATTTCTATTGTATTATGAGGTACAAAATAAAGAAAGCCATTTGAGGCAACATTTAAAATCGAGAACTATTTAAAAACGCTAAGCCTTGATTGTAAACCTAGTTTTAAGTTCTAAAAGGTTATGACTCATAAAGATATGAAATACTAGACATTCTTGTCTTTAAAGCAGAGATTGCTTGAAATTGGCCCACATCGATTTATTTACCTTTGAAAAAAAATATTTCTTTAAGTCCTTTCATTGCGTGTAAAGACACGCCCTCTAGAGGCCTCTTTAATCTGGTTAGGAAAGAAACGCCTTTTCTTTTAAGTAATTGTAAAAGATTTTGCTTGTCTTTTAGGAATATAGGTTTCTATGTTTTTTTTTTGTATTTTGTATATATAACGTCAAATAAAAATATGAAGTTGAATATGGAAATATATATAAACACCATAATTATAAATATTTAAGGTATTTAAATCATCCTGTAGAAAATTAAAGTCATTTTCTGTGTAAAACCTAATGTTTCTTTGAGAAAATAATCATTTTATGAAAACGTATTTTGAATTTAAAGTTTTGAAAAATATATATTTAAAATGATTTACGAGACATTCCCTCGTTTAGAAATTCTTTAGAAATCTTTAGTTTAAAGGTAATTATAAGAAAACTGTGAAATCTATTGATCTGAAAGGAAAATAATTTTCCTAATATTTGGTTGAAAACAAGTTCTTAATAAATCATTAACAAAAGTTTCGCCCCCCTCGCCCCACTCTAATTCTTTAATAGAACGTATTCTAGAAAAAAGTTAAGAACATTTTTTTGTTCAATAATTTTGAACTAACCTCAAAATACTTAATACTTTACTAAAACTTATATAACTGTCCATAAAATAACAATTTCAAGAAAAAACAAATGTCTCAATAAAAACTTGCTCATAAGTATTTTTTTATTTTAAAAGCAGTTTAACTTCCTCATGGGAAATTTCAGGTCTAACTTCCCAATGGAGCTGGGTCATTCGTCGTACAGTTTGTTTTTGTACAGATAATGATACAGGGTGTCCCAATAAACATGGGAATTCAGTGACGACTTTTATATTGTCTTCGTTCATTGCAGCATTTTTTCTTGAACACAATTCTTGCAGTATATCAGCTTAAACAAATAATATCGGAAACGCACTGGTCTTGAGATTTTCAAAATGTGGTCTTCCATCTACCATCTACTATCTTCAAAATTGACGGAGATATGATAAACTTTGTACAAATTTCAATTTATTTAATAAATCAAAATTGTATCATTTTTAAAATACAAGAAAGGTATATATATAAGGTAAAACAATTTATGAAAAGCTCCTCTGACCTGCAGCCTCGTTTTTTTACTTTCTGTGCCATGCATTAAATATCAAAAATCAAAGACGACTTACATGTCGTCTTTTAATTCCCATGTTTATTGAGACTGTCAAATGACCCCAAATACCCAAGAACTGGACTTTTAACTGCCTTTTATAAGAATGTTAAGCAGCGTATTTCATGCAATATATCGTGAAGATTTATTTTGGCTTGTGTAAATAAAGTTTATAGAAAGTTTCTTTGTACAACGTACAGTGTACATGTCACATGCACACTGTACGTGAAAGCCAACTAATACTAAGTCTGTTCTGCCAACTTTCAGATGAAATATTTATTTCTAAAACATATATTTTCAAAAATTTTAAATATATTGCTTGTGCTACATCTTGCATCAGAGCAATATCTCATTATTGACAAACCTAATCTGCTCAGTAAATCAAAGGTGAGACTACGAAAATATTAATCTATGCTTCCTGGGTGCTTCGCGTCCATATTTCCTTGTAACAATTTTACCAATTCCAACCATTTTTTTCTTCGTTATAAGAACATAACAATTTTGCAGACTATTCTATTGCAGTTGTAGATTTTGTCTATTGAATTACTTAATAGATAAATAGATATGTTTGAAAACCTGGTAAGCAGATCTACACCAAACATCGCCATCCAATGCGACATGGAATAATAGTTCTTGGATCATTTAATCCAATAGGTTTGTGAATACGAGGTCACAAAGTCGCACCAGCAATGTCGCATGAATTTGACCTTCTCCTACACTCCATGGTCTAGTTCACTGTTTAAATTTCCAATTTTTAAAAAGTTGAACTCCTGCCTAGAAATCTAATTTGTAATCCGCATATCTTTAAACCAGGTGATCCTGTAATTATCAAGACTGCTAAGAGACTAATGTATTTTAATAATAAGTCGTAGATTATAACAATAACCTTTTTGAAGGACTCTAAGAGCTCTAAATAAGTTTCTTAATTTTCACTTTTTCTAAAACATACAAATCGTCCAGGTTTTTCAAACACAACTTCTAAAAGCTGGAATATGGTGTCATTCTTTTCCATTTTTAGTCTTTTGAGCTTTTATTTTAGAGTACGTTACTTAATAATTAGGCGTATATTTGTAAATATATACAATAATTAGGCGTATATTTGTATATATAATATATTGTGTATTGTCAAAAATTATGATAAATCGTTTTCACCCAAAAAGCTTTTCCGCCTGATTAACTAGGCTGTCTAATCGTGCAAATACAAACATTAAAGGGACTAGAGACGTTATTTTTTATATGGTCTAATCTCCATTCACAGAGTGGAATATGCTTTCATAACTCTACCCTTTAATAAAACCAATCCCTATTTTTCAAGCTGGATATTTAACGCCTAACCGCTGCACATTTGAATATCCGAGCTGGGACAATTTTTCCAATCTTAGTTTGGACTGGATTTACAATTATAAAACGGCAAACCTGAGCCCAAAACTTAAAACAGGGTATCGTTATGAAAACCAGTTTAAGATCACGAATGGGGTTAGGCAGGTTTGAGGGTATTATTATTGTTATTATGAAATATT